GTGATATCGAAAAGTTGGATGGAAGCAGGGATATTGACTTTGGACCAACTGATAGATGATGATGAATTTTTAACATGTTAAGAGATAAATATCATCTATCAGATGTAACTCAATGGCGATATTTACAGTTATAACATTTGTTAACAATGTTGTTTGGACCAGCAGCATTTTTAGCTTCTGAGATACCTGGGATATCTTGTCTAGACAATGGGAGAGTGTTTTAACTTCTATAACAAGAGTGTCAGTGGACCTAAAATTACAACTTATACAACAAAAAATAATTGTTTAGAATTTATTGGACTCCACTACCTCTGAATAGAAAAGGATTGTCAAAAGCAACATTCTTTAAAACATATGTTTCTACAATGTCCTATACTTAACAAGTTTTGGGAGAGAGTAATGGACTATATAAATATGATTGTGCAAGAAAAGCAAAAATTTTCAGAGGATAATATTTTTTTGAACTATATACCTAGTACATGGAACTTGACAACCAGCCAGTGTAAATGGATTCTCCATGCCCTTACTGTGGCCAAAAGACTGATATTGCAGCATTGGAAAGATAAATGTATGGCCCCATTCACTCAGTGGCTTGAAGACCTGATTGCACTTGCCACTTATGAGCGGATTGCCTATAGATGTAGACTTTGTAAGGACAAGTATAATGAAATATGGGACTCATTTATACAAAATACAGGAGATAAAAAAAAGATAGTCATATAAATGTATTAGAAATATATACGTACTTGAATAATATTTGCATTAGATAAATATATGTACAATTGTAATCATTTACTGATATAATGACATATTAACATGTTTTTCTTTGTTATATTTCTTTCATTTTTTTGTTAAAGCACTTTCTAGGGGTTTTTTTCCTTTCTTCTTTCCAATAAAACATAAATAAATAAATATCATTTATGAACAAGTTAAGACGCACAGCTCCCAATACAGCTGCTTGAGGGATTCTATTTCTTATTTCCTTCCAGTGAGAAAATTGGCCATCTATTACTACTCTTTGTTTTCTGCTTTGAGCCACTTAGCAGTTCATAAAAGGGCATATCCTTTTATAGCACGACTGCTAAGTTTACTCAAAAACTTTTGATGGGGATATTTGGTGTAAGTGTAGAGCCACTTGCTAAAAATTATTAGAGAGGATCATATTGTTAAATTATATTAAATAACATGTATTATATGCAGGCGATTAAATCGACACCTAGTGTCTTGAGACATCATGTAAAGTTGCAGGTTATAAAAGAAAGAGAGTCAAGATGAAATTAATGGAAATCAATATTTAAGACTGTGACAATGAAAAAATAATCAAACTGAATAACTTGAAATGGTCAAGCAAGACTGAAATGTTCAGAACTTCTATCCTAAATTATGCACATTTATAGGGGGAAATACACACAATGATCTAATTTGAACAATGCTTGGCTTCACAGTGTTGTTTGATAAAAATGATACAGCTATCAAAATGTTATCATACTGCAAAAACATTCCAGTTGAGATAGCCTTAAAGACCTGGCATTCTGGCAAAATATATTAACTGATTTTATATGATCAGATAAGAAATTGAGATAGAACTTGCAATACAGGAAAAGGTGAAACCTAGAATTCTCATGTTAGATGCAAATATTACACAATATGATTCTGTTAAGGAGTTAATGGTAGTAATAAGGCTGATCACTTAAAACCGAGGGCATACAATCCTTTTCACCAAGGATGGCATTTACCTTTTGCTGGCATGCCAGGGATCATATTCTAACAAGTGATGGAGTCAGAACAAACAATACATTTGATAAAAAGAAACTTAAATAAAATACCTTTGAAACACCCGCTCTCATGTGAAGAATTACAGTTTGGTGGCAACTTTTGGAGAGAGACTACTAAGGCTTGGGCTGGGGGAGTGACAAAATCATTTTAAGATATCAGACTGCATATCCTGTTCTCAAGTATAATAAATATTGGAATGAAAGGGTTGTAAATTGCAACCATCAAAATTGTCTTGGCCTATCAGGAAAAAACACCATAACATTAGGAATGGATTATGAAAACACACTTTTCATAAGTTTTTGTGCGTAGATTTTGATTGATAGTGTGCACAGGTTTTGTGCCTAGGATTTGCTAGACAGACATATATTGCTGGTTACCTATTTAAACAAGGGTACGGTATGTGGAAAAAATGATTTTGTATAATGGACAAACAGCAGTGGCTCCAGTATATTCAGATGGAAGATTATATATAACACAGTTTATTAAGTAATGACTTTTTAAGATTAGTATTAAATACATTTTTAAAAATGAATCTTAGAAGTAAAAATGTTTAAATGTCTATTATCAAACTTATGCTGTCTGTTTTGGGCAAAATCAATTAAAAGATTATTTTAGAATATTAATAGAAATTAATATTTACAAGTTTAATGCCAAACGCTACTTGGGTTACTTTTAAAAAGAATTACTAAATTCATGTAGGATTAACAAAGTATATAAAAAATGTTATCTATATAGTCAGTTGGATATTTGCATATATGGTTATGTCTAAAATTTAAGCCTTCTAGAAGCAAGTGAAGACAGGCTAAACAGGCTTTTTAAGTAAAAACCATGTTATAATTTTTTCAGTGCCATGTACTTATAACATACCAATCAATGAAATCTAATTTTGATGGCAGCAAAATTAATCACAACAAAAATCAGAAAAATGTTACTAATTATATATAAGGTTTGGATTAGTAAATTGGGGCAAACAGTACAATTACAGAAAATCAGGCAGATTGGCATTAGTAAAATCCAAGATTTTTGAGCAAATGGAATCTGTATATTGAATACTGTACTGTACTGTACTGATTATTCAAGGAAATTAATCTCTAATAATGTTTCCATATTTCTTAACTTTTTCACAGAAGTTTAATTTAATATTAAGATGCATTTTCACTTCATTATTTTATATAGAAGAACGGATAAATTTATTTTGGAAATATTAGTATTGTTTTCTTTTCCTGATTACCATTTTATTACTCTTTAGTCAATGGTTTTATTTCAGCAATGGCCCAAAGATCATACATATGGACTGACACACTTATAAAATGTTAATTAAATATGTACAAGGGACATAATTGGAGAATTAATTAGCAATCATATATACCAATAAACAACCATTTTGTTGCCTTGTTTATTTAGAGGATGGATCTTAGCTGGAAGACACTGATCAAGCCCATCTTTGGAACTGATGGGATTCTCACTGTGAAAGAAAAGTAATAAATTCAAATTGCGGAAATCCATTGTGTTTCCCCAAACTTTGTTATCCAAGTTTGATGACACAACAATTTATCTCTTTGTTTCCCCCGTCTTCAATCACAATATCTATTTTAATGAAAAACAGAATTCAGCAATAGCTCCTATGTATCTAATTCCTAAATTTTTTGCTATGTTGCAGGTAGACGCATATCTTTGTATAGTAATAAAGGTACTGATAGTTTCTACCCATCATAATTCCTTTGTTAAAGTATCATATTCATGGGCTTATAGCTCATTCAAATCACAGCCAATTTTCGCAGGAACACTCAAAGCCACTTCTTGACAATGAGAGAGGTTTTTCTACTAAATTTCAAAGTTCAACCCTGCCTATTTCCTATCTTGGTACAGTTCCAAGAAAAGGAGTTGCAATGATAATATTTAAAGTACATTTTCCCACACTTTACTTATATTCAGACATGATCTGGACCTTTGTTGCAAAATCTTACCAGAAATAATCAATTCCAGTATAAATCAAAATCTGGAAAATTTGAGCTGCAAAAATGAATGTTTCTGGAAATGATAGGTATCTAAAATTGGGGTGCTGGATTGGAAATGCTAATACAAGAATAACAGCATTGTAGTCATTGCTGCTTACATTGATATACACACTGCTCTCAGGGATAGGTTGAAATATTAAAATGGGATGGCAATTCTAAAGGCAGGGAATAATACAGTCAGCAATGCACAGTAAAAAATAAGTTTGATGGTGGGAAAAAGGAAATTATTTTCCCTAAGCTGCTAAGAAGAAGATGGTTCTGTGGGAGAATGCAAATGTGGTTAAAATAAAATAGAGGAGAGCGATATTGTTTTCTTGTATTTGTATAGCCCTCTCAACACACACACACAGGATTTTAGAGCATCACATAAGCAAAAAGACAAGGCCTCATAACATAATTGTCTTCCTCTGATATACGACAGTGGTCTGAGAAAGCAAGAGAAATATGTAGGCAGAAGGAGCTTAAGCCATGTGAACAATGGCAAAATGGGGCATTTCCTAGGACTCCAACAACTGTATAGCAAAGGGTTCACCCTTCTAAGAGTGGTGCCTTTCTTATTCTTTATGGAAGCCTCCAAGGATGCAGCACGACAGACTATCCAATGGGCACAGTCCAATTTTTCCGGCTTCAGGTCTGGGCTACCCCTGGAGCAGGGTGCAGTGGCAGTCTTCCCTCGAAAGGTCTTGAAGCAAGGGGATATGTAGTCCTTTAGAGCATTTGATACCTCAATTCTTCCCTGCAGCTAAAAAGCTAATACTTTATGTTGAGGAAGGAGGTTTCAGAATAGCTAGTTGTTTACTTGAGAGAAGATAATTATTTAGAGGAGCATTCATGTATGTGACTTCTTATCTGCCATAAGAAGTGGTAGAGTACATGTCATTATACTCTCCTGACCCTCTGCTGCACATGTAAATCAGGTCAAAGGAGGCTTGCAGAGTCTATCTTGCCTGTTAGTGGTATTTGGGAAGGGGATTTTTTTTCTTTTTTTTTTCTTTTTTTTTTTGGTGGGCGGGGGAAGGTCCTGGAAATGCCCAAAGGCTTCCTGGAAGAATGTTCTGGTACTAAGCCTCTCTACAGAAACAGAGTGTGAGTGTGTGTGTGTGTGTGTGTGTGTGTGTGTTTAAAAAAACTTTAGCCATAGTTGTTTAATATGCAGACTGCACTAGGCACTTAACTCAGCACAAATTTGAAATTGTGATCTTTTAGGTTGGCATGACTACAGAAGAAATAGATTACTTGGTTCACCATGAAATAATCAAGCACAATGGTTACCCGTCACCTCTAGGATTTAAAGGTTTTCCAAAATCTGTTTGTACTTCAGTAAACAACGTGGTGGGCCATGGGATTCCTGACAGGTACTCCGTGTTTTTGTTATTGCAAAATTAAGATTATGTGGCTATCCATTTCTCTTTCCATTCTATAAGAACATACTCTCCATTCAGCCTACTTAATATGCCACATTATAGGCCTTTACATGTTCCATATGGCTGGCATGGGAGTTCTCCTTCAACCAAAATGAACGGAGATGATACAGCAGCCAGGCTCCGTTGCTGCGTTTTATCGACAGCAAGTGCCACTGGTTGCTGCGCAGTAAGAAAACGATGTTGGGGATGATAAAAGCAAAGATTGTTGCTTCGCCATCTCTTTTCCCAGCATGGTACAGCACCTCCGTCTGGGATATATCATCAAAAACAAAAAAGTCACTCAACAGAAAAATTATACTAATTTTCTAGAAATCTAAAGGTGGAGTGTGTGTGTGTTAATTATACACGAATATGTTGCTAATCATTAATGAATATTATGGGTTCTTTCTCTTATTTAAATTATTTGTACTTTCCGGTGTGGCTTTGGGATATATGGAATAAAGTGTATTTGCTTCGCTACTCTGTCTTTACTGACTCATCATTGTGTGTTGTGTCTTTTTCTCCCTTTACCTTCTGATTATGCTTAAGCCGCCCTCTCCAGGATGGTGATATTATCAACATTGATGTCACAGTAAGTAATTTTTTAAGTTGTTGTTGTTGTTATATAAGTGCCTTTGATCAACTTTTAAAATTTATAACAGTAGGAAAAACAGTAAATTACAAACATGCAAGGGTGAGTTTGGCAGTTTTACTCCAAAGCCAGAGCAAGAGCAGCTGGTTTCCTCTTGTGTTGTTACTATTGTTTTCCCCCCTCTGTGCTTATTCTGATTCGACCTAGGCCTGACTTGAGTTTAGGGCTGGAATCAGACTCACTGAGATCAGTGTTGGCCTAAGTGAAATGTCAGCCCAATCCTGCTATGTGTCATGTTTTTGAGAAGATGTAATTGTTATTGATCCACCGTGTAGTTAATGCAGAGCGCCCCAGTACTGGGGCAGCAGCTGAAGGCAGATATGTATGAGATGAGCTAACATGAAGAAAGCCGGCATTTTTCCTTCACTCTGCCAAGATTGATCTTCCTCTTCCTGCTGATTTTGAGTGGGGCCTGTCATTATCTTACTCTGTCATTAGAGGCTACATTGGCCTGTGTGTCAGTCTATTTGGACAGCAACCCTTTGGCTGGCAGTGTTCCCTACGTTTATTAAAATCCTCAAAGGTAGCGTTGTATTCTGTTTGTGGCATAAGAGCCCTGAACTCTTTACTCACGAATGCACAACTTGATCCACAGCCCACTTAATCCAAAGTACTTGGGTATCCCCATGGGGCTGATTCCATTTCAAACCCAGTTCCTTGGCTTAGCTGGATTGTAGATCCCACTGGGTGCCTAAGATATATACATGGACATAAAGCATTCAGCCAACATTTTGCTATGATGAGCATTCATTTTAAAATGCAGTCATACATGAGTAAAGAAAACATAAGGAGTTTATGTCCTTAATTGCATATCTTTAAAAAAAGTAACTATTTCAGGAGATGTTATTGCATGTTTTCCTACAATTACTGTAATGTTGAATATTTTTCCTAGAATGTTGAATTGTGAAATCTTATGTGAATTGAACTATAAATTTTGAAACAACTAATGCTTCCTTGATTTTAATAGTGGTTTTAGTTTTATTCCATCCTATAGTGCCTGTCTTTTCAATTGTCTTTGTTTTCTATCATAGTCATTGTTTTTTCAATGTTTGCTTCTTTGTCTTAGAAACAGCTAAGAGTGATTTTTGGAATACTGATTTAAAATGCCTATGTTTGTGTGTGCATAACTTACGAACTGTACCCATGACCTATACCTTTGATTATGATTTAGATAAGTATTAAGATAGTTTGATCGTTGTACTATAGCAACTCTTGATTTTTGGTTGTGTGCAAAAGTCTGTGTTCTGATCATGGAATGGTCCAGGGTTCCTAGAACATTTTATTTTTTTTTCTCCAAACAAGCTGATCCAGCAATTCTTCAGAAACCACTTCCTCTTCTGGAAGATTCCTTTGCAGAAAATGATAACTACCACCAAAATGGCCAGATGGACAAATACTGGGAGAAAAACAATGTGTTCTGGGGAATACCAGTATGTTCTGTAACCAGAATATGGAGTTTTGCATGTCTCTCTTTTCCGTGTCCCTTTGTGTTTCTCAGTTATTAACTAAACATGCCTACTGCATCCTGTACAACACTAAAAAATCAATATCAACAATTTAAGTGCAAGTATTCGAAATTCATACATAGGCCTTATCCTCAAGAGTTACTTGGTGACCTGATGAAGGAGAATGGGGATGAGGGCAAGCCAAAAGCCCCCAACCCAAATATACTTTCCCAGGGAAATTAAACTCTCAGTTCAGCCATAACACATTTAGAAGGCCAAGGATTCCTGACACCCTTGGAAAAGATACTGGGAAAGCAAAATAAAATTAAAAAACCATGTTCATGAAATACTGCCTCTTTGTTTTCTCAGAACCCCCATTGTCTTTGTAGTCCTGCCCCATTACCTCATGGTTATACCCTAATTGCCTTACTGACTTCACCAGATACATGATGTACTATATCCAATCAAATACTTGCTGTTATTTATATCCAATCAGGTATCTTGCTGCTTGCTGCTCTGTCCAATCACATGTATACTCTAATTTGCCTAAATCTATAAAGAGGGACTGTAACCCCTCCCCTCTTTCATCTTTGCCTCCAGCACTGTCACTAAACCAGTTTGTGATTCAATGTAATCATGTCCTGGTCTCCAGTTCAAATGTATCCTTGAGAAAATTCTCCTATACCCAATTCCTCCAATATATTATAATCAGACTTATAGAAAGGTGTCTCAGCCTGCCAAGCATGCATGTTTCACCTGATAGGGTGGGGGCAACTTGGTTGGAAGATTTGGAGTAGAAAAAATGGAGATTGAGATAGGATTAAACTCTCTGTTCCTTCCCTAATAACGGCCACCTACACTGTGCATACATTTGAGGGGCCCAAATCTCACCTTATGAAAGCTGCTTTTCTACACAGAAAATATTCGATGAAATAGCATTGCTACATATATTTTTGTGAAATGTGTCATTCTCCCAGGGGTACCTAAGTTTCCCAGTTGCCTTTGATGGGATGATGTCAAGTGTATACTAGCATGTATCAGGGCACTGAGTGGGGAATTACATAAACGATGGCATAGGCAACCTGATGCTCTCTAGATGTTTTGAGTCCTACAAGGTCTAATCATTCATCATGCTGACTGTATCTTATGGGAACTATAATCCCAAACACCTTCAGACTGTATGCACTAAGGCAATGTATACAGCCTTTTTTAGACTTCTGAGTTTTCAAAGACTTGGAGGGAGGCGTACATGGTCCTGAGGCCTCCAGTTGTGCATTGCTGCTCCAGGTGTTTGTTGTTTAGTTACTTATATATCCAGTGGCTGGCACATTTTCCCATGGGATTCTTGCCTAAGGATTTTTCCCTTTAGAGCATGAACACCCCGTTCTCAGACATTTCCTGTAGCTGTCATAGTGCACATAGTGGGTCACTACAGCTGTTTGCATGATGAAAGCTACAGGAAATGTCTAAGAATAGAAAGCTCAGCATCTCTCTGGATCTGGCAAGGTAATCGATTCTGCTTCTTACCTGTGATTACTGCTTCCTGTCTATGTTCACTGCTTCCTAATTTTCTCTGAATTAGTTATATAGTTTCAATAGCACCCATGCTTGCATTGGAAACCAACATCTTCTGAGACTGTATGTGCCATATTTTTTGCCACTTCTTCACTCATTGGACTTATTGCTCAAGCCAGTTTTTCCCTGCTTAGGGATGACCCATTGTATGTTAGCAATAGTATGGGGAGTCAGAACAAGGTTGCACTTTAAAGCATGCTTTCCCAAGTGAGAATTTCATTGAATGCAGTGCCACTTACTTTTGAGTAAACATTTTTTGAAACTGAGAGCAAGAGTCAAATCATATAATACATTCAGTGTATGAATGCTGCTCTCTTAATGCTTTTGTTCCACCCAGATGAAGACCACAGCACGCAGTGAATGGAAGTTTAATCCCTTTCCATATCTGACTCTTCCTCTTCCTGATGTGGCCATTAAATTGAGCTTTAAAAAATTAAGCTATGCTGCAAGTATGCTGCAGCTGAACAAGAAAATATTAAACTTTGCCATGCAATTCAGCCCCCATCTACCTGCTCCATTCTCACTAAATTCTAATTAAAAAAACATTTGATCATAAAAAAATGAAATCTTGTTCATTATAAATTTATCTCTGCAATGACATGCACATTTACCTTTGTGTCCAGAACTAACATAACTCAAATGTCACTGCTTATATAGTGACTAGTATTTAAATATGAATATTTCATAATGTTAATCAGAAAATCTTTGCTCTTACTGTAAAATTATGATAGCACATTAAACATCCAAGAAAAATCACTTCTTAGTTATTGATTATCCTTTTTGTATAATGATTGGCATCCTAGTAAGCATTGCTGCTCTATAATAATTTGTTGAATTTATTGAATTTGAAGAAGCTTTTCTTGGCATTATTTATAACTGATCTTTCCAAATGGCATAACTAGGCCATTTTATAGGTAGAAGAAACTACTATGGACCAAAAAAAGGACAATTACAGTAGATGACATTTTACAATAATCTGTGGTTGTGCACAAGATCTATAAAATGATTAGATAATCAAATGCTCTTCTGTAACTGCAGATTTTTAAAGAATAAACTAAATAAATTAAAGTTCACTAATTTTTGAAAAAATAGAGTCAGTGAAAAATGTTTTGTATATTTCAGTCATCTGAACTTCATATATTGTTTAAAGAATTAGAGAAACCAATTAGTTTACTTCAGTGGCTGCCAACACATTACAGCTCTTACCCAATAATAATCACACAGTTATTCTATATGTTAATAGACAATCATAATTTTAGCAAGTGAAAACAATTACTCTTATGACCAAATCATATGTATATTTACTTGTGAATAAATTTCTCTGTATACAAGGAGTATTTTCATGGAAGCTGGTATAGAATATCGCACATCTTTCCATGGGATTGGGTTTAGTAGCTTTCATTAAAGATTAAGAAGAAACATTTGAGAAAGCAAGAGGCAGCTAAAACAAGGTTTCTCAGCTTGTTCAATTATTTTATTGTACTCTTTAATTCCAGATGTGAGGCTTTACAATGTTAGAACTAAGATCCTCACCTGTTGAGGAATCTATAGAGCACTCTAGCATAAAATCTTTTAGTTATTGAAAGTTCCACTTGCAAAAAATCACAGTGACGAGGAATGTTCTTTGTGTCTGAGAACATTCTTTCCTGTTGCATGTTAAGTCCATGTCTGGACTTATGAAAGAAGTATGCGTGCGCACACATGCGCACACACACACACACACATATATAATTTAATTTCTATAGCCACCCATCTCAACCAAGTGACTCTGGGTGGCAAACAATTCTAAAACAATTAAAACAATTAAAACCCATACAAAAATAAATATTACATACATTGCCATGGATGTGGTAAAATTAAATGAATGTAACTGTCTCATCCAAATTAATTCAGATGCAGCAGAATTATCCTTTATTTGGAGGAAACATTTGGGTGGAAATTTGGTCTCTTGCATCCAAAGTCTGCTAAGTGGGAATCCCTTAAACTGAGGTTTGACTGCATGAGAATAAATAAGTGCCCTCTGCTGTTCTGCATAATTATTTGCTTTTTATTTATTTTGCACATGTGCAAATGCAAACAACAGGTGTAGCTCATGAGAGATTTTTAAAGAAAACTTGTAACCTGTTCCCCAGGTCATAAGTGCTGCCTACTGTACTTGGCCTTTTAACATCTTCCTGAAATCCAGGGCTAGTGTTGTCTGTGCTGTAAGTCCTCTGTTGGCATCACCTTATATTTCCTATCATGAGCAGATCTAATCTGATGTAACAAATAAGAGGAGGATGTTCAGGCAAGGGTCATGGGATTAAAATGTGTGTGCGTTCAGTCCTTTGTCAGTAAACGAGGAAAGAATCTCAACTCAAAACTGTGGGTGAAATACAGATGTTTGTCCATAGACCAATGACCAGCTCTAGCTAAAACAGTGGATGATGCTTCCCAGTCCCTACCTTTCCTCTTCCTTCCTACTGAAGAATTTGTCCACTGTCAAATCTTTTTTATGCCTTGACAAATTTTATTTTCCACAGTGAGATTGCTAATCCTATTGACTTCAGTGGGATATGAATAAGCTAACTGTGCAGAACTACAGCCTTAATTTGAAACTATTGCTTTGGTGGCTTGCATCTGGGAAGGAGACCTGTGCCTCCAATGTTGTTCTGATGCTGACTGTCTTCACAGCTTCTTGTATGATCAGAGTTGCAGAGAAAATGTACTATTTCTTCCCCTCCTTTTTTGAAAGTCGGTTCTCTGTTTGGTTTGGGGGTTTTGGTTTTGCAAGTTAACCTGAACTGTCCATGAAAAAAGCCCAAGGTTGTACCTTATTAAGCTTCCATCTGAAAGCCACTGTAAAAGTATTTCCTTTTGCATTTCTGCATCTGTTTAGGTGTATCTCAATGGCTACCATGGTGATACGTCCGAAACACTGTTAGTGGGGAATGTGGATGAGGCTGGTCAAAAGTTAGTGGAGGTTGCCAGGAAATGCAGAGATGAAGGAATTGCAGTTTGCAGACCTGGGGCTCCTTTCTCTGTGATTGGAAACACAATCAGGTAAGCCTTATGTCGAGGAGTAATGGGAAAGGTGCCCAAGTAGGACAAAGGCTATTGGTGGTTCGGTTTAAAGCTGATAGCACATTTTATAATTCAGAACCATTGTTTCAGTCTGATATCGCTATGTGAATTCCAGGCTGTAATGTTGTTCCCCAAGATTGTAAGAAAGGATTTTAAATAGTGAATTATGTGAAGCCAGCTCAGGGAAGATATCTAGAAAAAGCCAGAAAACATTTCTAAAACTGGCTGCACTCACCCTTTCTCCAATATAATTGCTAGCAGTTTGGACTACCTTAATACAATATGGTTGTATTAAGATTTCTGGAGGTCAGTGTTCACCTGTTCCTTGCATGATAAAAAATAGTGCCAGCAAGGTGTACCAAGGACTTGAAAATATTTCCCTTTTATACCAAAAAACACATATGAGTATAAAAAAAGGATGGCTCCTTTTGGGCACTTCTCTTCTCCTGGCCTTGGTAGAACCTGATAACACTGTATTGGCCTATCATGTTCAACTTGATTAAATACATTAACAAGGTTTTTCATAATTTCTGCATAGGTCTTTTTTTAAGAGTCCATCTTGCATTTTTTGTGTTTGCTAATGCTATTAGAAAAGCATCCTAAGGCTATAAAACATGCATTGCTCACAATCCTGAGAATATGCTATTTTTATACTTTTCCCCCCTCCCCAAAATGCTTTACAAGAAATAAGAAAAAGAGCAGCAAAATATCAGTTTGATGTATTTATAGCTTTAAAAATATTGTAACAGAGTCTGAATCAAACTTTAGTAAAACCACTTTGGGTTATATCTGAGAAGCTTTTATTGAAGACTTTGTATAAAATTGTGTTTTTGACAGTTTTAAATTATAGGCTAACTAGCCTGGGGAAAAAGGATAGTGTCTTTTCTGTTCTTTCATAGGAAATGTTGAATCAGACCCCTACTGGGAAGAGAAATTTAATGCATATCTCACTATCTTACTGTCCATGAATATAATAGAAGCGAATTCAAAATGTAGTTTTATTTTTGCAAATGGGATGAGTCAATGGATGCACCTCCATATTTTTGAACACCTAGAGTTCAACAAATTTACTGGTGGCGCACTTGCATTTTAACAAAATTTATGCTTGAGTCGAAGGGGGCAGAGAAGACGAGATTCTTATTCAGGCGTTCTCTCGAGCACGGCATTCATGGCAATGTCTAAAGGGCATGTCAGCCTTTGATTCTCTCTGAGAGGTAATTATCCTTTTCCTGTCACAGAACAACAAATGATAGCTAACTACAGAGGCACATTTGCAGTAGTCACATTCATCAACTGCAGGGGAAAAAAATTCAATTTAATTGTGCAACACAGCTGCACACAGGCTTTTTGAACATTTGTGTTGTTCTCCCTGTCTTGCTATTCCTCCCTACCAGATCTATTTTTTAAACTTTTTTCCCCTCCTTGCTTTTTCTCCCTTCCCCCTCCTTTTTTTTTTTTTTTTTGTCTCTTCTTCCATTTTTACTCTCTGTACTTTCTTGTTAAAGTAATTTTCCTTTGTGGCTCTCATTCTTTTTTTCCCCCATTGAAGGCTATGAATGTAGAAAATTATCACAATTACTCATATAATTGAGCCTCTTTGTAGCAAGTGCAACTCCAGTAGCCTTTCTCCATCATGAAAATGGTTTCATTATAGGGTTTTTCATATTCTCTGACACCATCTACCCAAAGGAACAGGCGTGCAGATGAGATGTACTAGGAATAGGGTAGATCAGGAAGGTCACAGTGGGAATAATTAGCTCTGCTATGGAAAGAGCATCTAGGCCTTTTACGGCTACATAAATGTACTGTCCATGGCTTTTAGGCACAAAAAAACTTACTAACAAATGGAGCTCCCGCCTACTACTTTGAAAAAAAGATTTGTATCAACACTACAATTTTCCATCATTAAGACTAATAACACAGAGCCTCGTATACATCAAGGGGAATAAAAAGAAAAATCTCACATTCAAGTGGCAACTGGGTGCTGACCTTTGTTCCCCTTTTTTGTGTACGACTTAACTCTTTACAAAAAAGAGCCACACGCCACACCAACAGGCAGGTGAACTCCAGCCAGTGCTGGCGAAGTGCTGCGTTCAACTTGAAAAATCTGAGGAGGCTCCTTGTAGGATAATGCGTTTCATTAGATTCACTCCATTAATTCTGGCTATATTAAAAGTGAGACAGAAGAAGATCGCAACTAAAAGGAGCTTTAATCTCTCCTTCCTTCCTTCCTTCCTTCCTTCCTTCCTTCCTTCCTTCCTTCCTTCCTTCCTTCCTTCCTTCCTTCCTTCCTTCCTTCCTT